GGCAAGCTCCAAGCGACCGTTGATCCCAGGACAAGTAACCCAGCAGTATTGCTTCCACCTCTCGTGCATGTTTGTTGCAATGTTACTATTTGTTGACAAAGCCTCACAAGTGAACTTAGACCTTATATAAACTCATTGTTATCAGAATCGATATTAAGAAACCCCAACCCTAATCCTCACATCCACGGCTCCTGGGAGGTTGGAATGTCCTTTTGATCCACAGAACTGCCCGGCGCCGCCCGAGGCTGTTCGGATTGAGAATTTCTGTCTTAGAGTGTTTATAGTGTTTTTTCGGGATTGAAAAGCTTAAACTTGAACCTCCGGGCCTCGGGTTTCGATTGTCGTCGTAGCACTAGTACTAGTACTAGCAGCAGCAGCAGCGGCGGCAGGGCAACGCGTTTTAACTCGCAGCGTTTGTTCTAATGATGTTTCGTTTTGACCTGAAGTGCCGGCTTGCTGACAGGAACGAACCAGCCTTCGATTTAACATGTTCGCAGGTCTATGTGTGTAATGCAGGAGGGGTATGCTGTCAGTTGCTGACGTGTCATGTGCTGATGTGTTGGATAGTTGCCGGACATCATGTTTGTCACGCAGCCGCTACGATTCATAGACAGGCTTGGACGCAAACGGAAGGGGCCTTCCGAAACAGTGGGCGATGTAAGAGATCGCCGATCTGCCTTCTGAATTTTCAGCTGCACCAGGCAATGTCCGATCCCCAGACCTGGTTTGCGACAGGCGCAGGTGATCAGGGTGGTCGTGTATCACAAGAGGTCGATCTAGGGGTTTTGTCCGGATCCTCCTCATCATCGTCTTCATGGGTTCTACGGCTCCAAAATGCAATCCTGACTGACCTGAATGAAGCTGACGAGCTGAGTGGTGCAGCCAGTGAGGGCGCCGGAGGCAAGCATGTAGACCGTGACGATGCGGACGAGGATGATCTAGATGAGCGTGAGCAAGAACCGCCAGGTACACAGGCAGTGCACACTTGCGATCCTTGCCTTTTTCACTTCAGTGAGCGAGGATGCAGGAGAGGATCCGCTTGTAGCTATTGCCACTTGGACCACCTTCATGCACATCGTCCTGCCCAGAGGCCTCGGAAGCAGACAAGAGACCGATACAAACGAAATATTGTCCAACTAGTGCAAGGGCATGAACATCTCGAGGAAATCCACGATGAGCTTCAGGAGGCGGCACGAAAGAACCCCTACATGCGCAACTTCATTCAAGGCTTCCTGGAAAACTCAGGGTCAGTGGCAGTCGAGGCAGCCGAGGGGCTCTCAACATCTGCCCCTGTCCCACGCATTCCGGGACCTCAGCCGAAAGCCCCTCCGGGCGTGCGCAGCGAAGGTGCCTCGTCGAGTGGGTATCCTTCGGACCCTGCAGCAAGTGGGGCAGATGGTGAAGACGATGCGCGTCAACCGGTGGCTTTGGAACGACGTTCCATTTGAGACAGTAACCGAATACACATTATAGTAAGACTATCCCCCCGGTGTTTCTTCACCGCACTATATGAAAGTGTATGTGCAAACAAAAGCAGGGGGATAGTACACCCAAGCACGTTATCAGTATATAAAAGAGTTTGGTGAAGATGGCAGCTTCTGGCGCTACCTAGCCAGAGCTTCGCCGTGCCCTGTCCAATCTGACGACGTCAGTAGACAGAGTTTCCAAACTCTTGCTTCCAGCTGCGTGCATATTTACCGCACGGTTCGAGTCCGTCCAGTTCTCGAGTTCCCATCGACGCCGTGACATGAATAGGCCTGGAGGCCGATATTTACCCCTTTTTAGCTTTTGAAGGTTTGATACGAGAATCGAGCTGCCGTAGAGAGTTCTCCGAAATTTTTTCCATCATGACCCAAGAGAATTGAAGGTGTTGGGAAATTTTATCCGAAGTAGCCTTGACAGCAGGACCGGAGAGCCGAAGCCGAAAGTAAACCCTATTAACATCAATACTTGCTAGGTTTTCTGATTGTCCGCCAGCACGTTGTTGGTGAAAGAATCGAAGATGACATCTAGCAGCTGTACAGATGACCCTCAGGTAAAGCGCGTGCTATGAACATCAATACTGCCAACCTTAGCCTTCAAGCCTATAAGCTGTAGATGCGAATACCCGAACGCTTTGCTATGACTATCAGCGGTTGAATAAGTACCGTACTTACTCCGAAATGCAACACGAGCCAACGTGGAGACTCCATCCTGAATTCTCCATTCCACGGCGTCGTTTCAGAGGAACGTAGCTAGGGCGTAGCAGACTCTAATTCGCTGCAATTCGCTGCAGGAGTTGTTTGTAACCATGGCAGCGCCAACAGCTTGTTTCTGCTGTAAATTCTACGACGGGTAAGTGGCTTAAGGCCTGACCAAAATCTGCGATTTGGGGGCAATTTGAGTGTTTTTTTTTGGTGGGATTGGTAAAGGGCGTTGGGTCGGTGTAGGTCATCACAAAAATTGCAAGATGCGGTATTTGCAGATTTGGCATTGGGCATGGATATGTAGGCGTACGATCCTTGGAATTTTTCTGCAGCAGAGAATGAGGAATTTGTACGCTGTACGCACTTTCAGGACTTTGTATCCCGCATTTGGGGCTTCTTGCGGTCTAATCAGTCCCAGAAGGTGAGTTCCGGCTTCAATATTCTTGACTTGCTACAGTCACCAATCCTTTACGTGTTCCAGATCCCAGGAATCAGTACATGAAGCATGCATATCATGTTTCAGAAGCCTTTTGTCCCCGTTACCAATGAAGCATCCCTGGCCATTGAAGTCTAAACCGACCCGTAGTCTCCATTGTAGTTCCTTTTTGGGGCTACCTTTTGGGATCCTTCTTAACACAGAACTGGTTAAACCAAAGACCCTAAACCCTAGACCCTAAACCCTAGACCCTAAACCCTAAACCCTAAACCCTAGACCCTAAACCCTAAACTACAATGGAGACTATAGGGAGAAACTGAACCTTCAGACACCGGCCTGCCCCACCTCCTCGAGGACGCTCCCTTTGCGCTTAAATCGTGTACCTTACCGGTAAGTAATATCGGAGCCTTAATAATCAGAATAGGGTTTGGGGTATATTATACTATAAATATAATAAGGAACCCCTAAAACCCTGTTCTCATTTTTAAGCCCCCTACATTATGCATTTGGGGGGGCCTTGGCGATCCAAGCTTTCTGTACGTCGGCACCTCGTGAGGAGCTGCGCGCCGGCTCCGCGTACGCATGTGGCGGCCTAGGCCCCTGCCCCTGGGGTTTAGGGGTTTTGGGGTTTTAGGGGTTTTAGGGGTTTTGGGGGTTTAGGGGTTTTAGGGGTTTTAGGGTTTAGGGGTTTTAGGGGTTTTAGGGGTTTACCCCACACATCCCAAAACACTCAAACCTATTTAGGCGGTCATTCCAACCCCCTTCTTTGGCTATCCTACTACGTTGGTACTTGTATGTTATGACTCTAGAGTACTGGCTGGCTCTACATGACCTCTTCTTCAGTTTTGTGCTGAGCCATCTTTGTACGGTGGCAAACTGGCACAGCAGGGGTAAGACGGGCATACCATGTGACTCCCTCCTTTCGTTCTGTACCCTCTAGATTCGATGTAGAAGTTGGACATGTTACAGTTTTGCGGAGATGCAGAATCATGTCATGGCCCCTTTGTGTCGTAAACCCATCTAAGTCTTCAGTCCTGTGACCTTTTTGCCATGGACCTGAATCCCTCGACCCTAAACCCCAAACCGTTTAGGTCGGACAGTTGCCGTTGCCGCCATGCCTGCTTTGCGAACATGTGAGTCGAAACCGTTTAGGATTTCGGGCTTTCGGGTTAATCCAAATGAAAACACCCTAAAACATACATAGACCCTAAACCCTAAACCATACATAAACCCTAAGAGGCCTCCACTGCGTGCCCAAACCCCCTCCGCCCTAAGGCGTATCGAAAGCCTCAGAGCTGAATCTGTAGACCCAAAAGGCCCGAGAAGCCCAAGGAATCCCCTGCACTGCCAAAAACGGGGCCTGATAAGACTCTATCCCAAAGGGTCCAAGTGCCATTATAGTAGGTCCTTAGTAGGTGTTTGGGCCCCAAAAGTATATACTATACTATTACTTGGACCCTTTGGGTATATACACTCTTCGCTAGGGTTCGATATGGTTCGATATTTACCAGCATACTCAATTGTACACCAAAAGCTTGGCTTTAACAGGTAAGGCCATTATAATATTAATGTTCCGAAAGAAGATCGATCCGCACCACTCCCAGAACCATGGCTTCAGCATCCTTGAAGGTGCACTTCTTCTTGCAGTCCTGGCAATTTCTTGTCTCAAGGCGGTGCCGAACTTGCACTACGGAATTCGGTGCCCTCCCGATGATGCAACGGTCCAGGGTTTAGGATTCAGTGTGCAGGGTTTTGGATTTCGCGGATTGTCCAAGGATGTGTTCCCTGTAGAGCACAATGGAATTAGGATGTAAGGGTGTTAAGACGCAGGGTTCATGACATCGTCGGCTTTAGCATGTCAGTTGCATGGTGCAGTTTCTGGAACGCACGGCACTGAAGCGGGGATCAACTACCCCAGGCATCAGCAGTCAGGGGTGGGATTGTGGGTCTAAGGATATTTAGGGTTTACAGGAGGTTTTGGGTTTGAGCTGAGGGTTAGGATGTAGGACCCTGCTCAACTACGAAGATCGCCCCAAAAAAACCCAAAACCTGAACCTTGAAGCCATACATATATATATATATATATGTACCTTGAAATGCTATTACCTATACATAAACCTTCGGAAATAGGATATGTATAAACAAACCAGGAACGCAGAGGAACCCCTGTACTACAACGATAAACCTCAGAACAGGGTTGCACCGCTGAGCTGTCGAGACATCCCCAACGGGAACGGGAAGATTATATAAGTTATTAAGTTAAAGCGGCAGCCGAACCACTTTTTGGGGGTGGTCGGGTAAGCGCCGGGGGGGCGGGGGGGGGAACGGGGTGGTCTAAGGGGTTTGGTGGAGGTTTCTCATGTCTTCCCAATTTTCGTCATTGCTGTGCGGGCTGTGTCCAAAATCGACATTCCCAGGTCAACTCAACTCTCACGGGATCCTTTTTAGACATAGGGCTGCTCGGACCTGCAGCGCACATACTTGTGTAATCAATCGCTGACGAACCAATATCTTCTGTTTGCGCGCCACCAGGCTGCAATCCCTGACTGGCCCAAAATCCTAAGCAATCTCAGGTACAATCATGCCCAAAAGTATGCAGATGTGGACAATGCTGGGGTCCCCACTGGTCCGACGGTGTTACAGTTTGCATTCCTGAGTAATACCTAGGCATTCGGAGGCTTTGGCAGTTTGCGGCATAGGCTCTGAAGTTCATTTCGGGTATAGGGTGCAATGTGGGACCACTACTCCATGAAGCATCGTCAGGGTTTAACATCAAGGTTGACGTTCCGGCGTAAGACTTGTGGCATGGTGGGCTGAAGGGCCTGGTGTACAGAGGTAGGACAGGTAGGAGATCTGAGTTGCACTACGGAAACTGGTAGATGAGGTATGCGCTTAGCCTGTAGATGCAGGTTCTCCTGGTTCTCATTCCAAGCCCTAAGCCCTGCACTGCACCCTGAACCTAAACCCCAAGCCCCAAGCCCTAAGCCCTAAAAGCCCTGAAACCCTAAACCCTAGGCAGTCTGGGAGGGCTGGACGGGGGCTTTTTAGCGCCGACTACATTGTGGAGAGATGGGGGGCCGCTCTGGAGGTCCTGCAGATGCGTGAGATGGCAAAATCTGGGCAGCTGGATACACAGCGGACAGCGTGCCGGATGCAGTGAAGGTGTCCAGCAATGTGGCAGTTTGGGTGGTTTTTTTTGCCGAATTTGAGGAGCCAGTGTCCCTCGCAGTGACCAGTGTGTTGGATGGAGATCATGCTGGGAGTCCGCTGGAGCCTGACGGCACTGAAGGACCGAAGGAGATGAGGAAGACATGGACCGAAGTCGTGCTGTGTCGGAGGACGTAGGGTTTGGAGATACGAGCGACCGGATGTCAAGGAAGCCGAAGCATGGCTGTCCAGGGTATCTCCCATCTTTGCCGTCGATAAACCCTGCACACTATAAGCCCTAAACTCGCAGCCCCGCCCATCCTGATAACTTGCCTTGATGGATACCACCCTTTTTGGTAGTCTGGAACCGGGGGTTCCGCAGGCTTAATGCAGGGGCCTTAAGAAATAGGTTTGGGGTGGATTATACGACAATTCTATGGGAGTTGTAACGGAGTAGTATTGCTTATCATTTCGAAGTCGCGAGCTTGGTAGCAATGAGCAATCCTGGGATCCTCTTGGGCAGCTTCTCAACCAAGCTTGTTAGCGAGAAAGATCCAACTAGACACCCATACCCCAGTGAGGGTTTAGGTGTTTAGAGTTTAGGGCTTTATGTCTTGCTTACGACTTCCTTGCTTTGTTGCGATTGTGTTGCTTTGCTATGCTCGTTCAATACAGGTCC